CTTATAGTGATTAGGCTTTTATTATTTCAACAAATTTCCTGGAATTGACTGTATTATAGCAATGAATGTTATCTACTGCTGCCCAACAGATTACCAAAAAACTTAGCAGCTTAAAACATCCAGCATTTATCATTTCATTCTGACCATCAGGAGTCCACCAGAGGCTTAGTTGGATGGTTCTAGTTTAAAGTCTCATAAATTGTGGTTAAGATGTCTATGAAGCTACAGTTACTGGAAAGCTTCCCTGGCACCGATGGATCCATGGCCAAGGTGGCTCACTCACATGGCTGTTGGCAGGAGGCCTCAGTTCTTTGCCACATGGGCCTCTCCATAAGGCTGCATGGGTGTCCTTATTGACATGGCAGCTAGCTTCCCTAAGAGTGAGCAAGGAGGAATCTGAAGTGCCTTTTATGATCTAGTTTCAGAAGACAAACCATTGTTTCCACCTTATTTTATTTTGTTAGAAGTGAGTCATTAAGTCCAGTGGGAATTCAAGGGAGGAAATTAGGCTTCACCTTTTGAAGATAGTGTCAGAGCACTTGTGGACATATTTTAGATCACCGTAATGATCTTTTGGTAGATTGGTGGGGTTTTTTTAACTGTGAAAAATATCACTTATGAATATTAGCTTATATTCCAGCTGTGGCAATGTATACTATATTAATATTGTGCATGATGGATCCTGGACCATGAACTTATTTTTATCAGTGAATGCCAAGTAAATATATATGATGTTAATGCTTTTATTAATCTAATTTTTAAATGAACATTGGTGTTCTGGTGCCTTCTTCTCTTTTCATTCTAGAAGGCCATCTCATACAGAACTGTAGCTTTAAATATCTCTATGCTGTTGACATAACAGATTTATATCTTCAGTCTCAAAAGTTTCCTTTAAGTTTCAGAACCAAATGCCCATTAGACATTCCCTTTGAGTAATTTCAAATGTCTAAAAATTGAACCATTGATCTCTTCTCCCCACTTTTTTCAAAATCCATTTGTCCCCATTTTCAGTAATTGCTCATGCCGGAAATGTAGGGATCTTTTTTGACCCCTCACTCTCCCTTACCCCCACATTTAATCCATTACCAAGGCCTACTGAATCTGTTTGTGAAATATATCTTGACTCCATCCACTGTACCACCACCACCCTAAGCTTAACCACTATTGTCCCTCTCCTAAACTGCTACAATATCCTTCTTAATGGTCTGTTTCCTTCTGCTTTTGTCCCCTCCAGTTCATTACAGAGAAACCAGATAATTGCCTTCCCATCCCACTTACATTTAAATCCCAAATCCTTCATATGATCTTGCCTGACCTGGTCCTTGACTTTTCTGTCTCTTCAACCTCATCTTCCACTACGTTAACCCTTGTTCTCCACATTTCAGAAACATTGTGCTCTCCTTTGCTCTTCTCTGCCTCAAGATCTTTGAGCAGGCTGTTCCTTATGCCTAGAACAAGCCCCCTCCCCAACCTCGTGTCTTTACCTGACTAAATAACTCTTTTATTCTTCAGATTACACCTTAAATGTCACTTTTCTACATTGCTTCCCTTGACCTCTCTATCTGGATTAGATTAGGTCACTCCCCGTGTCCCTCAAGGACCTGGCACTTTTCTTTTTTGCACTCACCTCAAGTTGTGATCACGTATCATTTGTATTGTCTTGTTTGATGTCTAAATATCTTAATTATCTTATTTGACTGTGAACTCCATGAAGGCTCAGTCTGTTTTGCTCTCTCACTATATTCTCAGTGTCTCATACAGAATCATGTATATAATAGGCACTTAATAAATATTTGGGAAATAAATTAACATTCAATAGCGAGAACACTATTCACTCAGGAATTCAGAGCTGGAAGGAATCTGATAAGTCATTTAATTGGTCTAGTCTTGTTTGCATCATGCCTGTCATGTCCTTGGCAGAGGTACATTCACACTTTATTCCTTTGATACTCTGTGAGCAAAGATCCCTGGTCCTTTCAGTTGTATCTCAAGTGTAGTCATTTCTCTATCCTTTGCATTCTTGTCATTCTTCTCTAAAGTATTTGAGGCCTGACCAGGTGGGATAAAGTAAGATGGTTACCCTCTTTGATTATGGCAGTGTGCTTCTATCAATGCTTGATTAGATTGCCTTCATGTCTTAGAATTGTCATAAGCACTGATGCTTATTGAGCTTGTAGTCAGCTAAAACCTAACATTTTTCTTTTAAAGATTAGGGGCTTCCATTGTTAGATTACAAATGAGGCACTTGAAGCCATTTTACCTTTAGCCTTCTCTTGGCTGATAGCTGTTCTCCATACAAGTTGTTGCAGGGTTTTTAGTGTATAAAAATGTCTTGCAGATGGGATTGTCGTGGATAGCACCTGTTACTTTCTGTGCCAGGTTGGCAAGTATGTTATAAACATGTCTGAGAGGAGGAAACTTTTATTAAGTACCTACTCTGTACCAGGCTTTTCTAAATACTTTATAATGTATAGTTTACATTATGTAATGTATGTAAAATATCCAGCAAGGCAGCATAGGGTAGCGGTTAACACATGGCCTCGAGAATCAGATCCTCTTGATTAGAATTATGGCCCTGACACTTACCAGCTGTGTGATCTTTGATAAATTCCTTAAACTCCACTTGCCTTAGTTTCCTCATCTGTAAAGTTAAAATAATAAATTGTGCCTATCTTACAAGATGGTTGTGATGATTCTGTAAATTAATATTAATATATTCAAAGCATTGTAATGGTCTGCCACATAGAGGTGAATATATGTTAGCTATTACCTCATGTAGTTCTCAAAATAATTGTGAGTTAATATAATTCCAGTTTTACAGATGAGGAAACTCATCCAGAGAGGTGAAGTTACTTATTTAAGGCAGATCCAGGATTTAAACTTGTGCTGAGAGTGGTAGAGTCACAGATGTTTGTGTAGAAGGAATCACACATGATCCCCTTCCTCTGAAAGGGACTGTGAGTGTGGCAGGTGCTTAGGGTCTCATCGACTTACTGCAGGATGCCTTGGTTGTACCTGTAATGAGACAAGACCACATATTAGCTTAAATAAACTGATGAAGAAGCAGTGACACTGAAAGATGCAACCAGTCATAGCAGTCAGTTTCCTGACCAAGAATATGAGGCCCTTGAGGTAGAATCTGTCATACTCATATTTTTATTTCTAGCCCCTTGCATTGATACATACTCAGAAAACACTGTTGGTGAATAAGTGAGTGAACGAATAAATGAGTGAAGGTATGGGGAGAGAGTGAGAGCTAGGAAGAGAGGCAGAAATTATACCAGGGTTTTTGGCATGGATGACTGGAGAGATGGCACCACCCTCCTCTGTGATAGCAAATGGAGGAGGAGGAGGCAGGTCTAGAGGAATGAGAAGGAAAGTTAGTGAGTTTGATTTGGACAGGTGGGATGTAATCCTAGTGGAGATATTTAATAGGCAAATAGAAATAAGGAGAGAGTTCAATGTTGGAAATATACTGGAAACTTCTTTTGAATTTGAAACCTGGAACAAGTATCCCTAGAGTCACAATCCCATAATTTCAAGAAGTGAGTTTTCTCAAATACTGTTAAATCATATTACAGATGTTATTCTGTAATAATTTTAGACTTTACATCTTACTCTCTCAACATTATGTAGATGGAAATCAAATTAATTTCATAGTAGAGAAATTAGAGATTTTAGAATAAGCCATATATAAAATGTACAATATAAATGACATCTCACTGTATATCTTACTTCCTCAATACTCTTAAGTGCCTTTGGAGAGCTAATTAAAGTGAAAAATTCTTAGTTAACATAGAAAGCTTGGGATATTTATGGTAGAAATCATGCCAGGATAATTGTGTTACAAATAAATAATATCATTTTCATTGAGGAATAATTCAGGCTGACGTCAGTAAAATCAGTTGCCTGAACCAACAGGATGAGAGAAGAAACAGAATCATATTCATCTTTACACAAACTAACCTTTTTTTCTGTTACCTCTTTAACTATTTTATAATTGCCAAACCTTAATTGGGGAGGTTATGTTTCATGTGATCCATATGAAAAGCTCAGTTTTATCCTAATGAATTCAGATTTGTAGTATTTTAGGTAAGTAATTTCATTTAAGATACATTTCTAATGTTTTTGCTTTAATGAGGAAGCATGCTGCATATTTAAATGTTTTTCTAGGTAGGCCTTCTATCTATAGAATACATTATTTATTAGAAAGATTCAAGTTGTTTTTATTTATCACACCTACTAGGATTGAAAAATTTTTTATGAGTAGCTTACTGTTTTATTTTTTAATTAATTAATTTACTTATTTATTATTTTTGGCTGGTTTCTTTTGGGTCTTTGTTGCTGTGCTCAGGCTTTCTCTAGTTGCAGCGAGCAGGGGCTACTCTTCATTGTGGTGCGGGGGCTTCTCATTGTGGTTGCTTCTCTTGTTGAGGAGCACAGGCTCTAGGCACGTGGGCTTCAGTAGTTGTGGCACATGGGCTCAGTAGTTGTGGCTCGCGGGCTCTAGAGCGCAGGCTCAGTAGTTGTGGCGCACGGGCTTAGTTGCTCTGCGGCATGTGGCATCTTCCCGGACAAGGGCTCGAACCCGTGTCCCCTACATTGGCAGGCAGATGCTTAACCACTGCGCCACCAGGGAAGTCCTAGCTTAGTGTTCTAAATTCAGCTCTTCCTGTTTTATTCTAATATATTTAGAAATTTTCTTAATAGCAATAAAATAATTACTTTAGAGCAGCCAGAAAAGACTGTTAAGATTATTAGTGTTCTTATTTTACATATGGTTAATCTAAGGTCAGGAGAGGTGGCAACCTATTAATAAATTATTTAAGCTTTTAAATTACAGTGCCTTTTTTTTTTTTTAACAATGATAACATTAATCTTTAATAATGTATTACCTTGTTTAAAGGTATGTTTGGGCATTTGTTTTTCCTCTCCTAGTTTTTGAAAACTTTCCAGAATTCAGTTATATTCATTTCCTTCTTAATATTTTTATCTTTCAGGAATCAAGAGAAAGCAGTGGAAGCTGGAGTCATTGTCAAGTGATTGAGACCTTTTACAAGAAAATCTCATTGAATGAAAGTCTTTTAAATTAGTGACATAACAAGACTAGTTATTAAAGGTGACAGTGTACAGAGAACGTTAAAATTGAACAATGACTCAGCTGTATATTTACATCAGATTATTGGGAGCCTATCTGTTCATCATTTCTCATGTTCAAGGTAAATCGGTGTTCATTTAAGCAATCTTATCTCTTTTTTAGTAATTTATTTCTGTATATAAAAAACACTCATTCTTAGGACCGCTCTTTCAACTCATGTCCCGTTTTGAACAGTTAGGCCCAGTATGCCAATAGCTTTTAAGTATAGAGGCAAAGAACAAACACATGCCAAATAATTTTTGAACTTGACTATGATAGAAACATTTTCAAGTCTGTATAAAATCTCAGGCTCTTTGAACTTTGTGTATTATCTGTAACATAGGCATTATGATGTACAACACCAGGTCTTATGAGGATTAAATGAGATAAAATATAAAATAAAGTAGGTGACCTAGTGCCTAAGGGTAATAGGTACTCAAGACTTGGTTTTAAAATACCTCTCCCCTTTAAAATACAATAAGGAATAAATGTCAATTTTTAAAAAACATTTTATTGTTGTTAAGAGTTGAGAAACATAAATGGAATTTCTGTGTGCCAAATATTAAAATTTCTTCAGAGTACTCAAAGTTTTATTTATGACTAATATTGTAATTTTACACTGTGCATTCACAGCTTAGAACTCCCAAACAGTAAGTTATTTTGATGACTCTTAGGATCAGATGGGCTATATATTTGCATATGAGCTTTTTCCCTGTATGGTTTAATTAGGACAGTGTTTTAAACTGAAGAGATAGTGGTATTTGGCAAAATGATTTTATATAGAACTTACTGAACATCTCCGTTCTCTTAAGTTTATACCTTCACAGATTGTTCTTCATAATGTTTTGTTCAGAGTGATGATTAAAATCTGCTAATAAGAATTATGATTAACAGCATAAATCTTTTGACATTTTCATTTGAGTGAACAGAATAATGAAACCTGTAGCTTCATTGTATTTTGTCTTAGGTTTAGTACCCTTGTTTAGTACCCATACTGAGAATATAAAAGCTCTCTTGCAAAAGCTACATTTTTGTGTGAAACACCACATTATTTAATAAAACATCTTTATTTTAACGCCTTTTGTTAGATGCCTTGTTGATCAGCATCAACCAAAGCTATCATAGTTTTGAAGATGACTTAAATTAATAGTAACATTTGTATTTGCTACCTTACTCCCAAGTAATCAGTATTTAGTATTAAAATTTTTTTAATCTATATAGATCACATAGAGACAATATGATACAAAATTCTCATTCCCCATCCTAAGTTGTTATATAATAAACTTTTTTTTTTTTTGCCCACACTGCACAGCATGTGGGATCCTAGTTCCCTGACCAAGGATCGAACCTGTGCCCCCTGCAGTGGAAGCACAGAATCTTAACCAGCTGACCGCCTGGGAAGTCCTGATAAACTTTTGTTAGATGAAATAAATTGGTAATTAGTTATCAGGCATAAGTGAAAAATCTTAGTAAGCATTATATTGCTCTGAAATATAAGCAAAATTTGTTACATTTCCTTTCAAAGAAGATTAGTTTGATAGTTCCCTTCAAATAAGATAAAAATATTTGCTCTTAAGGAAAAGAACTAAAACCAATGTCGAAAAAATGGTATTTCAGACTTGCCCGGTGGTCCAGTGGTTAAGACTCCCTGCTTCCACTGCAGGAGGCATGGGTTCAATCTTTGGTCGGGAAATTCCACATGCCGCGAAGAGCAGCCAAAAAAAAAAGTTATTTCTTAGAGATTACTATGGATTGCTAGAGTGGTGTTATATATATAACCTATAGCTCCAGCCCACACCAGGACTCATAATTTTATGCTTTGTAAACACAGGACTTGTGTGTAGAAAGAGATTGGCATGTTCTAGGAACTGACACAGGGCTGTATGTTTGGGCATGATGGAGAGAGAGGTCCACAGGGTCCAAATCCTGTGGGGCTTCAATAGGCCTGGTGAAGGAGGTTGGATTTTATTCTGAGTGTATATGAAGCCATTAATTAAGCAGGGAATGACAGGATCAGATTTAGGTTTATAAGATAACTCTGTGCTATATGGGAAATGGGTCGGAGGGGGCAAAAACAGAAGTAGGGAGATCAGTGTCTTGTCTTGGAAGTGACATGATATGATGGGCCCGGGTAATAGCAGGAACTAGACCAAAATGAGAAAAAGTGAGATATATCTTGGAGGGTGAGCCAAAGACCTGGGGAGGACCAGGTTTGAGGAGAAAAGTCAAGCATTCCATTTTAGACGAGTTAGTTTTGAGTTACTTAAGTCAAGGCTGAAGGGGTAAATCTAGGAACCATCAACGAAGAGATTTATTTAAACCATGGGAACAAGTGCTGTCATCTAGGGAGAGAGTACAGAGAGGCTGTTGCTAGCTATTTTTCTTTGTATCCATGCCTCTATTTAGTGAAATTTTACAACTTATAGCTCAGGTTTCTTCGTGTTTGACACCCTAGGATGAGTTTGTGTTATTGGCTCCTTCCTTTGTTTACATAGCACCTTTGTATTATATCACTCTTTGAATTGTGTTTATTTATGTGCTTATCCCCTCCACACACATACACCTTTGTCTCCTTCCAAGTTTCTCAAGGACCACATCAGTTTCCAACATTCAGTAACTTGCCTGCACATAGTTGGCCTCTAATCAGTGTTTTGTAAATTAATACTTGAGATAATATAAACCTCAGATGCAAATTATTATAATTAAAATATTTCTGTCTCTTAAATTCAAACAGTGTTCTAGGAAGTTATGTGTATTAACCATCTGTAACTTTGAATTTTCCAGGTATTGGTGATCTTTTAGTATGATCTTTGTTACTAGTAATATCTTCATTTATACACTTTTATATTTAAGCCCTTTATTATACATTCATTTGATCTATATATAATCTCTTGAATTGGGCAGAAATTATTATCATCATTTTTTATAGATAGAGACCTGAGGTTCAGAGACTAACTTATCAATGGAGATATTCAAGACTTGAACCGTTGACTTCTCACTGTTATTTCAGTGTTATTTCTGCCACACTATACTGCTTTTTCTATGTATCATTAGATTTTTGAAAAACTAATCGCGTGCGTAAATATATTGTTTGCCATTTGGTCTCCATAGTTAAATTGATGCTTCCTTCTGTTGTTGTAATACGATTTTAAAACTGGTTAAGAGACCTCAGATATGCTTTAGTCCTATGGTCTTATTGAGTAAATGAGGCTTGAAATAACATGGCTTGTCCATGATCATCCAGCTAGATAAATGGTGGAGGAACATAGTAGACCAGAATCTAGATTTCCTCATTTCTAGCCCAGTGGATTTCTTCCCTTCCTGAAACTCTTCCCCGCCCCTTTTTTTTCTTTGATGCTCTTAACATAAATGAAGTCTACGTTTTGTAGCAATTTGGAGGATTAAGTGAACATTATTGAAATTTATGGCATGGAATCACTAAAATTTATTTAGCAGCACATTCTTTTCTTGTTATCAATGTGTGTGTATGTATTACTTTTTCTATTTTCAAGTTCATCTCACCAGTACGGCTAAATTTTAAGTCAAGTTCACATTATGCCTTGAACCACTTATTTAACATCTATAATGAAATACATACACAGTTCTCTTAATATTTTATACCTGTTTTAGCTCTACACTTCATTCCATGAAGATCAACTCTACAAGGAGTAGCCTAGCTGATTTCAGCTGATTCAGAGGGAGAAAGGAATTACTAAAACGTTGTTTTAGTTCTGTTCTGCTTTCAGCCTGAAAGAATCAGTATCAAATATGACAGTATCTGTCATTTGAGGCTACGAGACTCTAATGCAAGAACACAGTTCTGTTTCCATGTGCTAACTACTGCCCTACAGTGACCTTCATTTTCTGGCAGCATAGTCTGGATTTGAACCAATGACCTTGAGATAAAAGGCACCAGATAATATGATTAGTCCCCATGCTCTCATAATTCCCTTACTTAAGCAATTAAAATCCAGAGCAAGATGCTTAGTAGTTTCACTTCCACAGAGGTACAAATAAAGGACTTTACTTTTTTTAAACTAGCCACAAGTTTTGAACCAGAGAGTCTAAAAAAAGAACTGTAATTTGCCTTTTTTCTTTTTTAAACCTCCTTATTGGAGTATAACTGCTTTACAGTGGTGTGTTATTTCTACTGTATAACAAAGTGAATCAGCTATACATATTTTTAATGATTGGAAATAATCTCGCTCTTCTCTGAAACTGCTTTCCATTTTGTACCTTTCTTACAAGTTATGACCATATTCTACCTTGTGCCACTCTCGTTTGTCTTTCACTAGTGCAAAAATTGTGACATAATCATCTTCATATATCCCACAATACCTGGGATAGTTTTTCCGTGCATTTTAGGCTGTTAATAAATGTTAATCATATGAATGAAATTTATTTTTAATTAAAACACACATTAGCTGCAATTAATACAATAAGAAAGCTTAGAAACTTCTCACTGAAAATTGGAATAAAAGAATTAGCTTTTCAGAATGGTTTATTTACAACTTCATGTTTGAATGCAGGGCAGAATCTAGACAGTATGCTCCATGGTACTGGGATGAAATCAGACTCCGACCAGAAAAAGTCAGAAAATGGAGTAACCTTAGCACCAGAGGATACCTTGCCTTTTTTAAAGTGCTATTGCTCAGGACACTGCCCGGATGATGCTGTTAATAACACATGCATGTAAGTATTTTATGCAGTTCTTCTTAAAGTTAACGAGAATAGGGTTGCACTTAGTACTATTTTAAGAATCGTTTACTTTGTCTGAATTTTGTTTCTTTAACTTTATATGGTTTTTCCAAAGAGCCAAAAGCTTCTTGTTTTTTATATAGGAACATTTATTACTATTAAGTGATTGATGGTTATTTCCTTAGAGTAATATAGGTTTTAAAGAGTTAAAAGGAATCTGGTATTTGTCTAGCATTTTGGGTTTATTTAGTGACCTTTTTATCATAAAGTGATTGATATTCATTGTAGAAAACTTAGAGATTACCAAAAAGAAACCTTGAAAATTCACCTAAAACCGTGTAATTCTAAATTGGTTGAAATAGGGGCTTCCCTGGTGGCGCAGTGGTTGAGAATCCACCTGCCAGTGCAGGGGACACAGGTTCAAGCCCTGGTCTGGGAAGATCCCACATGCCACGGAGCAGCTAAGCCCGTGCGCCACAACTACTGAGCCTGTGCTCTAGAGCCCCCGAGCCACAACTACTGAGCCCACGTGCCACAACTACTGAAGCTCGCATGCCTAGAGCACATGCTCCACAACAAGAGAAGCCACCGTAATGAGAAGCCCACGCACCGCAACAAAGAGTAGCCCCCGCTCACCTCAACTAAAGAAAGCCTGCGCACAGCAACAAAGACCCAATGCAGCCATAAATTAAAAAATAAATAAATAAGTTATTTTTTAAAAAAATCTTCCTATTAAATAAATAAATTGGTTGAAATATTTTGCAGGTCTATAAGAATGATATTGTGATATTTAATTAATTTTGTGTTATTTTCTTATGTGAACTCCCAAATCCAAATCTGATTTATATAACCACTTTAATTTTTCTACTTAATTTCATGTTAACTAATTAATATTTATATCTATTCCATATTCTTGGGGGACATTGAAGAATTGACTTACTAGCCAAAAAAATTCCCTGAACAACTCAATCTCATCAGTCAATTGTCCCCCTGTTATAAAGGTGTAATAATCAATAATTATTGATTTGTTTTGTACTTCCCTAATAATTTTATGCTCTTTGAATGTGACCAGATATAAAGCCAAAATGTATACATATAAAACACTGAAATTATATGATGGTTCACCATGTCTTAGATTTGTTGTTTGTGCTGGTGGTGGTTGACTTTACTGTGGCAGACTGGGTGATCTGTTGTTAGGGGAGTGAGTGTTCCCTTTGTCACCAAGAGACTTCTTGCCAGACTTCTTGTCTGTAGTTCTTGCTTGATCTGTGTGGGCTATTTGTTAGAGGCTTAGTAACCCAGAGTAAAACTGGGAATCATCAATTATAACAGAATTTCACCTCACACTTAACATTTTCTCATTTCAGAAAATGAATAATTATGCAATATTCTTTTAACTGTAAGCAGTATACTTACTGATATGAACAGTAAGGAGGGACACAAAAAAATCTTTTAGATGTTTCTTCCTACCCATGAAAGCCTAATGAATATATTAGGAGAAAATTCTGGCATACTAGTACTAAAATGATAACTTTTTTTTTAAAGATACTCCCCTCTGGGGTTTTCCAATTTTTTATTTTATTTTATTTTAATTTATTTTTGGTTGCATTGGGTAGTCGTTGCTGTGTGTGGGCTTTCTCTAGTTGTGGCGAGCGGGGGCTACTCTTTGTTGTGGTGCACAGGTTTCTCATTGCGGTGGTTTCACTTGTTGCGGAGCGCGGGCTCTAGGCGCGCGGGCTTCAGTAGTTGTGGCTCACGGGCTTTAGAGCGCAGGCTCAGTAGTTGTGGCACACAGGCTTAGTTGCTCCGCGGCATGTGGGATCTTCCCGGACCAGGGTTCAAACCCATGTCCCCTGCATTGGCAGGTGGTTTCTTAACCACTGCGCCACCAGGGAAGTCCCGATAACATTTTGTTAAATACAAATCCATCTATATAAACTTCTTGAAAATTCAGCTCTTCAAAAGTTCTCCCTTTTTTCCTATCATGTTAAATAAAAAGTGCCTTTCAGGATCTTAGTTAGTCTGGTCTTCCCAAATATACTTTTCTTTGTCATTGAATCTATTTTTATGTTTCACAGGAAAGTTTGTTTTTATTTATTATTGTGTACAGTATGGGAATACTGAAAATCTTATGGATGAAAAGAGATAAAGTTATTTTTAAGTATATTTTTAAACGTTAAGATTATTTACTTTATAAAGTTGTATAAATCATCTTTCTGTGATCACATGACTATGATTAGCAAAGAGAAGTTACATAGTATTTCATATTTGGTGGGACTTGTTTAATAGAAAATCCTTTTCTACCTAACACAGGATTTTTATTAGACCTTTAGGTTTTAGTTCAGATTTGACAATTTTCATTTGCCTTAAAACACGTACGGTTTTGCCAGTAAGTCAAATGTGAATGTAATTCTAATTCAGAACTAAAAGCATCAGATCAGTAACTGGTCACATTCATACTGAGATTTAATTAGTACTTTCCAATGTGAAGTTGGTTTTTGGTTTTTTGGCTTTTTTTCTTTTAGAACTAATGGACATTGCTTTGCCATCATAGAAGAAGATGATCAGGGAGAAACCACGTTGGCTTCAGGGTGTATGAAATATGAAGGATCTGATTTTCAGTGCAAGGTAAGACCTAATTTGAGGCCTATGAAATAAAGAAGGGAGGGACCACAGGAAAAGCGTTGATTCCCCAAGGAGAAGTATGCCTGGTCTGCACATTGCTGTGTGTTCTGGAAGCAAATATATTGGAGGAAGCTTAGCTCTTGCTTCACGTTATATGATTGTGCCAATTGAAATTACAGATTATTTTACTTTAAAATAAGTTTTAAATCATCTTTTTTTTAAATTGTCAAGCCTGTAAAAACTGATACTGTCACACTTATTTCTGGATTATAAAAGTGACTGGAAAGACTTTAAGGTGACAGGTAAATAACCTTTACATCTCTCTGAGACAACTTAGAGACCTTAAGTCCTTGTAAGGAGATCTCAGTGGATCTCAGTTACTTTAACAGCACAGCAAAGGAATCAGAGGATCAGTAATAGTTAATGAACATATTGATGGCTTTGGGTTATAAACCTAATCTCTTCAAAATCCTGTATAGTAATTTTGCCCCAGGGGATCCTTCCAATGTTTTTGAAAACAGCTCCAGAGAGAGCTGTTTGTTAACAAATTTAAGCCTCAGCTATTTTAGAAAATTATTCCAATTAATGAGAAGTTCTCAGGGTTGATAGAAACCACACATGCACGCACGCGAACACACACACATATATACACGCTCGCACATATTGCATCCCATCTGTTTTCTGTTTGCTACACCTCTAGTGACAGGGGCTCATTACCTCCCAAGCCCACCTTTTTCATCTGTAGTAATGACCTGACCTTATCCGTAGAAAGCTTTTCCTCTGAATGACTGCAAGTCTCTCTTCCTTTGTACTTCCTTGGACCATAGAGAACAAATTGATTCCCTTTTTAATATGGTAGCCCTTTACTATGTGAAGAAATTTTTTTTGTACCGCTTTACTCCCCATACCCTATAGTCTTTGCCCAGTGAAAATAGTAGTTCAAAATGACTTCAACGGCCCCTTATAATCGTCAGCTTTAGAGTTACTCACTCTTCAGTTTCTCAATGTAAGATGCAGAATTGACTGTGGTCTGGCCAGAAGAAAAGAAGAAAAAACAAAACAAGAATTAGTAACTCCTTTCCCTTTTCCTAAATGCAGCCAAATCTCCTGTTAGAGGTTTGATTGTCATACCATATTCTTGAAATATATGGAGTTTTCTGTCAGCTGAAATCCCCATGCCTTTCACTCATGCTTCTACTCATCCTTATCTCTTCCATTCTTTATTGGTGCTGTTGGTTTCTTGACACAAACAAGTAGGTTGGGAATGGAATGAGTTTTGTTACACAATTGTCACATACTTGTCTAAGTTAAATTTCATTGTATTAAAATTAATCCGTTGCTCTAATTTGTCAGGATTTGGGGGATGCTGATGTGTTTGTCTCTTCCAGTTTTATGCTCTTTGCATATTTATCAACCACACTACAGTACACTGTTTAATCACTTTAAAATGTTGAAGAAAGACCTCTCTGTGGTTAAAGCACTGAGCTCGACAGTAGCCACCAGTGTCTCGCAGGCCCCCTCAACTAGATGTGTCCCAAATGAATTTATCAATGTAATTCAGTTGTTAAGCTTGACAATCTGTGTTCAGATAGGCATGCTGCCTCTTGCTAGCTGTGGAACTTTGAGCAGGGAGCTTTACTCTCTTAAGTTGTTTTCTCATCAGCAAAGGAGTTCTTATAAGGGTCAAATGAGAGGTAGCATGTATGCAGAGAGTTTAGCACAGCTGGCACATAGTAAGGACTTAGTAAATGTTAGCTTTTACCATATTGATGATGTAACCAAGCAGGCTTTAAACTGGGTTACGCATATACCTGGGTGCACACAGACTACATTACACAAGGATCGCATAGGCACATGGATAGTTTTAAGGGGATCGGTTTACCTATCATGAACTTCCACAGGTTCTATTGCTTAATATTGATCTGCCTGAGACCAGAGCTTCTTAAGCAATTTCTCTTTTCCTTCCTTCCTTTTCACCATCAGCCTTGTCACAGTTTCCAGATTAGTGGCCTGGAATGTAAATACTCAAGTTTCCAAACAGTGTTATAATTCGAAATCTAAGTATCAGTGTGGGGAACTTGGGGATAGCAGATGTATTTGCGTATCTGGTAGTTTTTCATTTTTTGCTTTCAACCAGTTTGCTAGATCATGTAAAATAATTTTTCCTAATAGGATCATTATAGGAGTTTTAGCATACGATTGGAAGGTCTCTAAAGAATTATGGGACAATGGTATAACTAGTTCCTTCCATTATCATCTTTTTGTTTATGTGAACAAAGAATCTTAGTACTGACCCCAAAAAAGGAAAAGATAAAAATAGGATTAAAGTTAATGCCAAACTTTCGCATTCTAGCAATAAGTAATTATCCATGAATTTATGAAGTAGTTTTTTAAAAAGTGTCATTCATCTCATACCTCTCCAATAAAATTTTCTTTTTATATTAGTATTTTAATAAAGATTATAATATATATACAGTTTTGATTAATTTTATACTAATAATAATTGTGATGATAAATCAAACCAAAATGATTTTTTGACTTAAAGACATACTATCACAGGAAATAAAATAGATTATATATGTTTATTTTTCATGTGGAGAATTATTTATCAAGATACATATTACATTAGGACATTTTTTTTAACATCTTTATTGGAGTATTATTGCTTTACAATGGTGTGTTAGTTTCTGCTTTATAACAAAGTGAATCAGCTATACATATACATATATCCCCATATCTCCTCCCTGTTGCGTCTCCCTCCCACCCTCCCTATCTCACCCCTCTAGGTGGTCACAAAGCACCGAGCTGATCTCCCTGTGCTATGCAAGCTGATCTCCCTGTGCTGTGCGGCTGCCTCCCACTAGCTATCTGTTTTACATTTGGTAGTGTATATATGTCTATGCCACTCTCTCACTTCGGCCCGGCTTACGCTTCCCCCTGTCCATGAACATTAGGACATAATTATTGTGGAAAATGTAGAAACGGAATAGGAGCTCAAGGAGCAAAAGGAACACTATAAAATTTTCAATTGTTAAAGAAGCATTTTGACCATTTATTTTTTAAATAATGATAATGAGTATTGAATTGCTATATTATTTAGATTCTACTGAATAGATTTAAGAGTTATTTTAATTTTATTTTAAAATATCATGTGGAATATGCAAGGAATTATCAATACGTTCTTGGCAGCTATTTATGATGAAAAATTTTAGGTGTCAGAGTCTAAAAATGTATGAGGGGATACGTTGTTTTTCAGAATTCATTTAGGGGTTACACAGACAAAACATGTTGACCACCACTTATCTCACTTTTTGTGTATCTTGCTATACCTCGCTCTTAATTTACCTGGCACCTCATCTGAGCAGAACAGCTCTGCTACTTTTACCTAAGCTTTTTCCTCCCAGTGCTTTCACATACTGTCAGGTTTGAATCAAAACAAGTTCAAGTGATAATCACCATGCTTCACCCAGACCTTGATTTTCCCTCACACAATCCAGTCTCTGTAGGTAAATCTGGCTTATTCTGTTTCTTCCAGTAGAATGAATTATTTCTCAGAAACCGCACTGCCATTTCTTGTAATTTGGTTTCAGTTCCTTTATCGTGTACCACTCCCCCTCACCTGCAACCCCCCCATTCAAGCTCACTAAATAAGTTAGAATCTCCTATTTTGTGAATGCCAGGTGAGTTTTTTCCCCACAAGGATTTTTATTGCCCACCTAAATCCAGAGATACAAATGGACTTGGGTGGAGCATGGGAGTAGGGAGTGCAGGAACCGGAAAGGTTGTGTCACCCAACTTCATAATCTAGACACACGTAACTTTTGCCTACCCAGATACATAGTTAACCTACATAAGAAAGATGTGAGTTTCATGTTGCTTGTTCTCAGTGAAGCCACATTGAGTCTTCCAGGAGATTACAAACATTTGTGACTTATTCTAGAATGTCAGCTGGGATCTGTGTCACATTCACTAGAGGAAGAAGAATTAATTTATTGAACATTTACTATTTGCATTTAATATGCTGAGTGCTTGGTATATTTTACCTCATTTTCCCCCAGTTACCCTATAAGGCAGGTATTTTTTATCCTCCGTCTTATAGCAGAGGAAACTAAAGCCCAGAGAGAAGTAAGTTCATTGCTCAGGGTCACAAAGTTAATAAATGGCAAAGCTATGATTTAAGCTATTTGATTCCCAAATCCTTGTTGTTTCCGTAATACTGTGCTGCCCCCAATCTGTTGTTGGCAAAGTCTTTCTTTCCCTTTTAAAAGTAATATAACATTTAGCTATCTAGTTTACAGCACTCCTCGTTTTTAAAATCTTTAAATCATACCACTTTCAGCCTTCTCCCAAGTGCTCTCAACTTCCTGTGATGTAATTCACCTAGCTGAGAAGATGGGAATTCAGACAGAACACAGAAACATTGTAGGGTCTCTGCATACTTCTGGGATACCAATCCCACTTACTAGCGTTTGGTCTGCCTCCTTCATTCCTGCAATCATCCTTGATAGAGAAGACTGGAACAAAACGAGAGTTAAGGAAGTGTTCATTTTCTTTGTCCTCCGTTACCTAGTATTTTGTCGGCAATATTACATCCATCGCTTGGTGGTCTTTCTTCTAGCACTGCCAAAAACCCCTTCCTGATTTTTCTTTACATTTTCTGTCCTGCAAGGCTGAGCTCATTTTGAACTTTAGCCATACTGGGACTATTCTTGGATACTTCACGCTTCTTTTATTCATCTTAGTTGTATACTCTTCATTCCATCCTTCATGTAAGTTTTCTCTAGATCTGGGATATTTTTTTCAGAGTCACCTGTGTAACTTCTGACATGTCTCTCTTTTCTCTTTCTTTTTATGATCATTTAAAAGTAAAAACAATTGTTAGAAAGTTAAAATTTCAGTTAAAATGTAAAACTTGTGCTTTTGGAGGTTTCCAAGTACTCTTGACCCATCTTCTCTTCTCTTATATAATCTCAAGTCCCTTATAGAATCCCATATAGATTCCCCTATGGAATCTCATTTTCACATTTTTAAAGGAATACCTGATTATACCGAGGTTTCTCCTTTCTGCCCATCTGATATTTAAGAATAAGAAGGTTGATTTCTGCTTATATTCTTGCTACTTCTGTGATGACAGACAATTCCTTTCTGTTACTGTTTTGGTCTACAATGGCACTTCTTACAGGTAGTGCTGAAATGTCAGCATTCAAGTTAAGAACTTCTCAAATACTGTACTTTTAATCAAATAAAACTTCACATATAATTTTTGGTATCTGTTCCCATGACTACAGTCTTTCCCTGTGCTCATTTTCTGATGTATTAGGGACACATATCTGGTTGGTGGTCTCCCAAAAACTCTCAGAAATATTGTTTCTATATTTTGACCTTATCCTCACCACGTACACTTCAACTTGCTTCCGTATCAGGTTCATTAGTTTCCACATTGTTATTATAGGCAGCATCAACTGTATCTTCTGCCTACTTGACTACCTTTTCTAACCTGTCATTTCTTTGGCCTAGGACACGCTCCACATTTTAGTCAGATCTTAAGTCTCATCCAACTAAGTCTCAATACTCCTATGAGATCATATTTACCCTGCTAGTTTATCACTGTAATAAAATGTATTACCCATGTTTTTTAGGAAAAGATCTCATGATTTTAAATACTTTTTTACTAAAAACAAATGAATAGTCATATCTTAAGATATGCCAAATTTTGGGTGAAAAATATATATAAACTTTTGTTTATCTGTAATTAAGTTATAGTGTAGTGTTCTAACACATCATCCACATACATACATTCTCCTTAAGAAAAAACATTTTAGAGTCTTTACAACACTATTTCACCATAGATTTAAATTTTTCAATAATCACTTTCACACAAACTTAGCAGGTCCTTTTCACTCACTGAATTATAAACTGTATTTTATGAATATTTTAAAAATTAATTATCAGTTTCGTGTATCAAATTTTTTCTAATTTTCTTCCTTTAGGATTCACCAAAAGCCCAGCTACGCCGGACAATAGAATGTTGTCGGACCAACTTATGTAACCAGTATTTACAACCTACACTGCCCCCTGTTGTTATAGGTAGGTTAGCAGAGAAAAGTGCAATCATGATTCTCAGTAAAATATTTTCTCTGGTTTTAACAATAAGCAAGCTTTCTAGAGTTCAACACTACAAGTTATTTTTTTCCTTTTAAGATGTGATCGAAAGATAATATGTCTTTTTCATTGTTTACTTCCATTATCAGGTCCATTTTTCGATGGCAACATTCGATGGCTGGCTTTGCTCATTTCTATGGCTGTCTGCATAATTGCTATGATCATCTTCTCCAGCTGCTTTTGTTACAAGTAAGATAATTATTTTGATGCAAAATATTTTGTTGACTGTTAGATATAAACAGTTGTTCTTAAAGCCAGTAGGCAGAAACCATTGACACTGAATGTATTTCAGGAACCATTAACTTGTATTTTCTGGTTATCTCCTTTAATTAACTATATTATAGTTTTCTTAAGGGAACAGAAGACCTTACTACTAATCAATTAATTGGACACAACATTATACTTCTTGTTATGTTCATGAGTACTTAAGATTTTCTTATTTATAGAATATTGAACTTTCTTATATCTAAATTTAAAAACCTGTCCCAAGAAATCAACTGTATGTATTATCATTCTTTAGTTATTTGGCAGTTCAGAATTGTTTGCATTTAGTCATGATTTCAGAAGACATTTGCCAGAAGAGCAATAAGAGGAGGGCATAAACTTCAATAATAAAATATTATCTTACTGGCATATGAATAAACAGAGAGATCAGTGGAATTCGTTACTAGACCCATAAGTAGACCCAAGTATATAAAGAAAGTTAGTATATGATAAAGGTAACATTTCAGATCACTGAGGAAAAGTTGGCTTATTCAGTAAATGGATTTGGGAGTGGATAGCTATATGGAAGAAAATGAAGTTGAATCAATTCCGTACACTGAAATAAATTTTAGCCAGGTTGGGGTGCTCGCTCTCCCTTTGTCTCTCTCTCTCTCTCTCTCTCTCTCTCTCGCTCTCGCTCTCTCTCGCGCTCTTTCTCTCTCTCTCTCTCTCTATATATATATATAAACTATATATATAAACTGAATTGATTAAAATACTAGAACAAACCTTGGAAGAATTTTTTAAAATAATCTGAGTCTGACACAAAACTTACAAGCAAAAAAACCAAAACCTTAAAATTAAAAAAGAAAAGATTGATGGTGTCAACTACATAAAAATAAAACTTTACTATGTGGTAGAAACCACCATAAATGGTCAGAAGACAGACCAACAGTGAAAAATATCAGCAGCTTATATTACAAAGAGCTGATTTCTCAAATATAAAGAGCTTCTATAAATCAAAAAGAAAAAAATCAATTCAGTGGGAAATTAGGCCCCAAAAAATGAGCATATATTTTACCTAAAGAGAAATACATATGGCTCTTAAAAGAAAAATAAAAAGATGACTTAAGAATACTTATAATATGAAAAATATAAATTAGAATCGTACTGAGATATTTTTTACCCATTATACTGGCAAAGATTCAAATGTTTGATAATAGACTTTTTAGATAAAGAAGTAGATTGAGCATACTTACTTTTGTTGTGCCCCACTAAAACAGCAATAAAGAGTTTTTAACTTTTTTGTCCAACTAGGACAAGGAGACAAGATAACAGCAAAAAGCTGTGGAACCTGTGAAGCTTATGGATGAGTAGTGACTTTGTAGACCTAAGAAATCTGAATCCCAGGCTAGAAAATGAGAAAGACAAACAGCAACCAGTTTATACTGTAAAATTCCCCAAGAAGCTCAATTGGCAGTAGCAGTTATCTATGGTAGTGAAGTTGAGGGGGGCAGTAAAACCAAGAGGATTGCTTGAAAGTCTGTTTTTAGAAAGTCAGATGCTGTATTAGTTGTGCGATACTGCATTAAGAAATCACTCCCAAACTTAGTGGCGTGAAACAGCAGTTATTATCTCTTATTGTTTCTGTGGGTCAGGACTTCAGGAGTGACTTGACTGAGTGGCTCAGATGTCAGCAGAGGCTGCACTCACCTGGAGGCTTGAGTGGAGCTGGTAGATCCCGTTCCAAGATAGCTCGCTTCCGAGGCTCACAAGTTGGCAGGAGACCTTAGTTCCTCTGATGTGAGCCTCTCTACTGAGCTGCCTGCATGAGCTTCCTCACAGCATGAGGCCTGGCTCCCCCGCACCCCCAGAGTGAGTGATCCAGGAGACCAATGTGGAAGCTGCAGTGCTGTTTATGATCTAGACTCAGAAGTGACACCATCACTTCTGCCATATTCTGTTGGTCACAGAGATGAGCTCTGCTTTATGGAAGGGAAGTAAACAAGGCAGGCATACCAGGAGTTGAGAAATTTTGTGGGCCATTTTGGATGCCAAGTACCACAGATGTTGAGATCCCTACTCTTTTTCTGAATAACGATGTGACTTTCCACCATCTCTCTAACAGAAGGCTAGAAGTGTAGTCTCTGAAAAGAACAAAAATGTTCTCAGCTATGGTATCCCATTATTGAGGGTGAGGTATTACAATAAAAATAAGGAGGTAAAGTGAATATTTACATACTAATTTGTGGGCCCCCCTACCCTCCAGAACCCTGCTAACCAAGCATGTTCCCCCTAGATAACATAAGAAGATTGTTCTTGGGGAAAATCCATCTAGCCCAAGAAAAAAGACCTGAGTATTCTGTCTCTAGTAAGTCCGGTGAAATGGCCCAAGCAGGTTGTCTTACAGTGAAACCTGTAATCAGTAAGCCCCAATCGCATACTAATAGCTGCCAATCAGCCAGTGAAGGGCACTGATCCCTGAGAAACAGGAAACAAATGAGGTGAGTCTTGTGATTGCCCAGCTTACTCCCTGAAGAGAGTTTCTGGCTGCGGGACACGGGAAGAACTCAGGTGTGGCCCAGCAGACACTGAATCGAGGAGATACAGCTGAGAGTCTGGGGAGAGAGCAGCAGCTATAGTTCATAGGTACAGAGTACTGGAAAGGAGAGTTTCACAGAGAAAGAACTCCAGACATCTTCAGAACGTTCCCATAGAATATTCAGCTGAATCGTGATCAGTGTGTTCAAGTGAGGAAACCACCTAAGGCTGGGAAAGAACGGCTGAAAAGATTGAAGGAAACAGTATTCAGTGCTCACACAAGGCTGGGGATAGTATCTGTTCCCACCAGCTATGTGACTTGAAAACCTCATAATTCATGGGGTTTTGGTTATAGTACCCAGAAGGGTCTTGCCTCCGTATTGGAGAATAATTAGGCAGCTGTCTGACTTGGGACAAATGATGAGCCTCTGGGCCATGGTTTTCTCTTTTGTAAAATGGAAACAATAGTACTTACCTCTTACGAGTTTAATAAAGATGAAGTAAGTCATAGAACAGTGCCTGACACACACTCAAGATCAATAAAAATGAGCTGTTGTTTTTTTTTAACATGTATCAACATGGGTAAATATGTAATACATAAGGAGTTTTTTAAAGCATGATGTAAAATATTAATATAGCATATGCCATTTGTGTCCAGAGGAACGATGTTGTTTATGAGTATATACTTTTATGGTAAAGGTATAAATACATAGATAGGAAGGATATAACCACCTTCAACATAGTGTTTGTCTCTTAGGAGTAAATGAGGGAAATGGAATTATGAGGGAAATGGCTGCAAATATTTTAATGTTTATTTATTTAAAATATATCTAAAATAAACATAGCATAATGTCAATATTTATTAAATTTAAATGGCTTACACATGGGTGCCAAATAAATTAATCTCTACCTTCCTACATGTTTGAAACATTTCATAATCTGAAAATTTTTTAAAAAGCCTTTGAAAATATTAGAATGAATTAAGTGAACTTATTTGATTTCTTTTCCATAAACTCTTTTTTAAAATGGAAGTATATTTATTGTTCATTTTGATACAAAACTACATGCTTACAAATTCAGATGAAAATACATATGTAAAGTAGAAAGTAAATATTCCTACATTCCCAGCAATAACTATTATATACAACTTGATATATTTCTGATCCTTTTAGACAAGTATAAATACATATAATTTTAAAATGTTTATAGCTAGGATCATACTTTACATGCTGTTTTTTAATCTGTTTTTTTCACTTGCCATTGTACCATGGACATCTTTCCGTTTTAAGATAGTATATATCTCTCTACCTCATAAACTCCATTTCTGGACATTATTTTAACAGAGGATATATTTTTCTATGATAAGGCTAATTTGGATATGAACCCATGTGATGAAGGAAGGATAATAGTGTCAACAACCTCAAGATTTTTCTTACCTTAGAATTTTATAGTTTTAGAATGTTAATGTAGATTATTTTCTGCTTTTTTGAAAGACATTATTGCAAGAGCATCTCAAGCAGACGCCGTTACAATCGTGACCTGGAACAGGATGAAGCATTTATTCCAGTTGGGGAATCATTAAAAGACCTTATTGACCAGTCACAAAGTTCTGGTAGTGGATCTGGACTACCCTTATTGGTAAGCTGAAATGTCATATAAACATGAATGGTTTATTAATACAGAATGTGTTGTCATATGATGGTAGACGGCTTAATAATTACATATTAGGGGACTTTACTAGACACACTTCTTTCCCTTCTTATTTAGAAAGATGGTTACAGTAATGCAAGATGAAATTAGTTAAAATAAGAAATATGAAATAAGAAAAATTGAATAAAGTAAGGTAGAGTCACAAGCAAGGTTAAGAGAGAAAATGTGGTCATGAAGTGCTATGTAAGTGTTAACATAAGCTCACAGGTTTTCTTTGTTTTTTTGTTTTTTTTTTGTGGTACGCGGGCCTCTCACTGTTGTGGCCTCTCCCGTTGCGGAGCACAGGCTCTGGACGTGCAGGCTCAGTGGCCATGGCTCACGGGCCCAGCCGCTACGCGGCATGTGAGATCTTCCCGGACCGGGACACGAACCCGCCTCCCCTGTATTGGCAGGTGGACTGTCAACCACTGTGCCACCAGGAAAGCCCAGCTCACAGGTTTTTAACAGCCAACTTGAGGAATCAGGTGTAAAATACCTTGCATCTGTAAGGTTAAACTGATTGGTTGGGAGAAGTATAACAATTTCAGATTCTGAAATCAAAAGGAAGTTACTCCCACAGATCATCTTCATAGAGAGGATACTTCCCTCAATATAATACTGTGTAACCAAAACACAATTCATAAAAATGATGTTAAAGCGAGTTGTAAATAATTCTAAGAGAATTACATGTATAGAAATACTCAGACTTAGGGGTCAAGGGGACCCTTATAATAAATACTAGATATCTAGATAGATTTTAAATTCTGTGTTTAGTTGGTTTGTTTAAAGTAAATACATTGGTCTCTAATTATAAAATTCATTGAATCAGGTAATTCTGTAATTGAATTGGAAAGGACAGTGCGGACAACATGATTGTCCACATAGAAAATCTCAAAGATGATAACATAAAGCTACAACAACCAATAAGTGAGTTTATCAAGGTCATTGTACAAAAATCATTGAATTTATGTACACTGGCTATAAACAATTAGGGATTAAAATTTTAAAAGCACTATCATTTAAAATACCATGAAAAACGTGAAATATTTTGGAATAAACTTAAAATTTATGTAAGACCTGTACACTTAAAATCAGAAAACATGGGGCTTCCCTGGTGGCGCAGTGGTTGGGAGTCCGCCTGCCGATGCAGGGGACACAGGTTCATGCCCTAGTCCGGGAAGATCCCACATGCCGCAGAGCGGCTAGGCCCGTGAAGCCATGGCTGCTGAGCCTGCGTATCCGGAGCCTGTGCTCCGCAACGGGAGAGACCACAACAGTGAGAGGCCCACGTACCGCAAAAAAAAAAAAAAAAATCAGAAAACATTGCCGAAAGAAATGAACAAAACCCCTAATAAGCGTTAAGGTTTTTAACCTGTTTTTGAATCAGAAGACTCAGTATTAAGATTTCAGTTATCCTAAAACTGATTTATAGTTTCAATTCAACCCAAATCAAAATCAGAGCAAACTTTTGTAGAAATTGATGAGCTTATTCTAACAATTATTTGGAAATGCAGAGGACCTAGAAGAGCCAAAACAATTTTGAAGAAGAAGAATAAAGAGGATTCACTACCTGATTTCTGGGCTTATTGTACAGCTACAGTAGTCAACACTATGTGATCCTGGCATAAGGATAGGTATGTACATCAGTGGAACAGAATACAGTCTAGAGATGGATGCACACATGTGTGATCAGTTGATTTGGATGCCAGAGTAATTCAGTGGGGAAAAGAGTCCATTCAACAAACGGTGCAGGAAAAATTGGGCATCCATTTGCCAAAAGGTGAATCTTGACCCTTATCTCACTCCATATACAAAATTACCTTGAAATGGATTATAGACCTAAATGTAAAAATTAAAGTATAAAACCTTTAAAGGAAAATGTTTTAGAAAATTATTGTGACTTTGAGTAAAGATTTCTTAGGACACAAAAGGCAAGAGTCACTTTAAAAAATGATAAATTGGTCTTTCTTAAAATTTAAAACTTTTCTTATTCAGAAGACACTGTTAAGAAAGTGAAAAAACAAGTCACAGATTGGCAAAGGCGTTCAGATAAAGAATTTGTGTTGCAGAATATATGAAGAATTTTTACAACTCAGGAATGAGACAACCCAATTGTTTAAAAATGGACAAACGATTTGAACAGACACTTGCCCAGAGAAGATGTAAGAATGGCAGATAAGCACATGAAAAGATGCTCAGCATCATCAGGGAAATGCAGATTAAACACAGTGAGATACTACACGTTCACTAGTATGACAAAAACTGAGAATATTAAGTGTGGAAAAGAATATAAATCAGGGCTTCCCTGGTGGCACAGTGGTTAAGAACCTGCCTGCCGATGCAGAGGACACGAGTTCGAGCCCTGGTCCGGGAAGATCCCACATGCTTCGGAGCACCTAAGCCCGTGCACTGCAGCTGCTGAGCCTGCGCTCTAGAGCCCGCGAGCCACAACTACTGAGCCTGTGTGCCACAACTACCGAAGGCCGCACACCTAGAGCCCGTGATCCGCAGCAAGAGAAGCCTGCGCACCACGACGAAGAGTAGCCCGCACTCACCGCAACTAGAGAAAAGCCCGCATGCAGCAACAAAGACCCAATGCAGCCATAAATAAATAAATAAAATAAATCGACTGGAAATCTCATATATTGCTGATTGAAATGCAGAATACAGCTACTTTGGGGAACAGGTTGACAGCTGACTAAAACGTTAAGCATATACTTTTTATACAGTGAAGCAGTCCTTCTGCTAATTGTTTACAGAAGGAATATGCAAACATGTCCATACAAAGACTGACTGTGAATGTTCATAGCAGCTTTATTCATAATAAATTGTAAACAACCCAAAAGTCCATCAGTTGGTAAATGGATAAACAAATGGTGGTACATTCATTGAGTAGAATACTGCTTGTCAGTAAAATGGAACAAACTACTGATGCATGCAATAGCAACACAGGTAAATTTCAAAGTTTTTTTTTTTTTTTAATTTCAAAGTATTTTATGCTGAATGAAAGAAGCTAGATACAGAGGCTACCTATTGTATGTTTCCATTTATGTCATGTTCAAAACTGTAGGGAAAGAAAAGAGATCAGTCATGCCAGGGACTCAAGGTAGGTGGGGAGGTGATTGACTTTCAAGCGGTAAAGGGAACTTTTCTGGGTTATAGAAATGTTCTGTATCTTAATTGTGATGTTGGTGGTTACATAACTGTATACATTTGTCAAAACACAGTTCTCGAAAAGAGTGCATTTTAGTATATGTAAATTAGACCTCAATAATTCTGGCTTTCTAAAATGAGATCACAAAAGGAATTTGTAATAAGTGATACATAAAGTAAGTCAGTTTAGATGCTCATAAAATCTAGCCCATTTTAACTACATTTCCAACCGGGACCTTAGTGTTGTTTTTTTAATTTAGAATGGCAGCTAATGCTTCTGAAAATGAAAGGTAGCAATTTACCTGCCTGTTTCATCCAACAAATATTAATGAAAGCAGTATTGTACTTCAAGTATTGTCCTAAATAAATATCTGTATTCTGTGAGTAGTGGGGGATGGAATTCAAACAAATATGTATATAAATAATAATAAAATTGTAATTGTGATAAGTGCAGCAACTGAGAAATATGTATGTGCTATGAAGGTGTTTAAGAGAGAAACAACACTCTTAAGTAAAGGGAACTGCACATGCAAACAGATTGAGACAGGAATGAGCTTGAGTGAATTCTAAAAATTGAAACAAGGTAAATAAGAGGGGATTAGAGTCAATAATCAGGCAGGAGAGTTAGGCAGGGACCAGATCACGTAGGGTCTTACAGACTGAGTTGAGTATTTTTAACTGTCATTTAGATTTTGCTACATGATAAACCATCCCAAAGCTTAGTGGCTTGAAACAACAAACATTTGTTATTTTTCATGATTCTGTGGGTCTTCTGGGCAGTTCTTTTTCTGAATTTGCTCAGCTAGAGCCAAATGGTATAGTTTATGTACATGGCCAACAGTTGGTATGGTTTTGCTCATTTTGGTCACAGGGTGCCCTAGAATGGCAAGAAAGAGCAAGCTCCAGTGCACAAAGACTTTTCACTTGTTTTACAATTGCTGTTGTTCTTTTGCCCAAAGCAAGTCATGTAGCCAAGCCCAGAGTCTGGAGGAGACTACCCAAGGGTGTGTGTACTGGGAGGGGAATTATATAGTCCACTTTTGCAAACAGTCTGCCACATTGACTAACCTGTTATTTTGTGATTTTAGAATATATTGTACATTGTTTCATCTCCTTTTGAATACAGTACAGTCCTCCCTCAGGATAGACCTCAGGGGTTGGTTCCAGGACCCCTTGTAGATACAAAAACGTACAGATGCTCAGGTCCCTTACAGTCGGCCTTCCACATCCAAGGATGCAGAACAGATATGGAGGCTGACTGTATATATGTTAATCTTCGAATTGGTTGGTTGTATATACCATCCTTTTTTTTCTTTTTTTTTTTTTTTTTTTTTTTTGCGGTACGCGGGCCTCTCACTGTTGTGGCCTCTCCCGTTGCGGAGCGCAGGCTCAGCGGCCATGGCTCACGGGCCCAGCTGCCCCACGGCATGTGGGATCTTCCCAGACCGGGGCACGAACCCGTATCCCCTGCATCAGCAGGCAGACTCTTAACCACTGCGCCACCAGGGAAGCCCCATACCATCCTTTTTGATGGGATGGCCTATTAAGCCACGTTTTCAATCTTAATATGTTCTTCTCATTTTACTTTTTACTATGAAGGTTCAGCGAACTATTGCCAAACAGATTCAGATGGTTCGGCAAGTTGGTAAAGGCCGATATGGAGAAGTGTGGATGGGTAAATGGCGTGGTGAGAAAGTGGCAGTCAAAGTGTTTTTTACCACTGAAGAAGCTAGCTGGTTTCGAGAAACGGAAATCTATCAAACCGTGCTAATGCGCCATGAAAACATACTCGGTGAGTACACGTTTGATTTTAGTCAGTTCCATATTCTTCAAGGTTAGTGGGATGCCGGTGGAAGCCTGGCACATGGGCTTTGAAAACATATGTGAGTTCAGTTGTGTGCATTTGGCTAAAGGAAATCTAGTGGAATATACAGTTTAAATACAACCCAGTCCTGAATGGCAACCAACCACTTCCCAGACATGGCTCAGAGATATTTTGGGGTTGGGTTCCAGACCACTGCAATAAAGCATGTCCCACAAATATTTTGGTTTCCAAATGCATATAAAAGTTATGTTTATGCTGTACTGTACTCTATTAAGTGTGCAGTAGCATTATGTCTAGTAAACAACGTACATACCTTAATTTAAAAATACTTTACTGCTAAAAAATGCCGAACAATTACAATAGTAACATCAAAGACCACTGATCACAGATCACCATAACAAATATAATAATAATGAAAAAGTTTGAAGGTTTGTGAGAATTACCAAAATGTGGCACGTGAAGTGAGCAAATGCTGTTTGAAAAACGGCTCCTATAGACTTATGGCAGGAGCTGCCACAGACTTTCAATTTGTTAAAAACCCAGTATCTGTGAAGCTCGGTTAAACAAGGTATGTCTATATTTACTACCCAGCTGAGGAGAAACAGCAGTGAGTTTCAAAGTGGAAGTAATATAGTTTATTGGACTTAGTCATATAGTAACAAAAAACAAGTCTTTTAAAGGTAATTTAAGCAATTTTCTAGGGTAACTTGAACTATATGTACCTTTGCCTGTTGCAGATTAAATCACCCCCCTCCCTCATAAGATGTAGCTTCATTTATTATGTTCTATGCTTAATAGGTCTCTCTCCTCACCCCCATTCACACAGTAGCAAAATAACCTAGGTATGATCTGATCAGTAGGGTACATAAACTCATCTACCTTCCCTGACTTTCTATTCAGGTACTATTTCCTTGCCCTTTAATTTAGAGAGTGCATAACATGTTGCTAAGAGTATAGTTTCCTATACTAATTATATTCGTTTCCTAGGACTGTCCGTAACAGAGTACCACAAACTAGGTGGCTTAAAACAACAGAAACTTAATTCTCTCAGAGTTATGGAGGCCAGAAGTTTAAAATCAAGGTGTTGACAGGGCCATGCTCTCTGAAGGCTCTAGGGGAGGACCCTTCCTTGCCTCTTCCAGATTCTGGTGATTGCCAACTATCTTCGGCATGCCTTGGCCTAGGAGACCACACTCCTATGTCTGTCTTTGTTGGCACATGGCCTTCTTCCTGTGTGTCTGTATCCATATTTCCCTCTTCCTATAAGGATACCAGTCATTGATTTAGGGCCCACTCTAACCTAGTATCACCTCATCTGAACTTGATTGTACCTACAAAGACCTTGTTTCCAAATAAGGTCACATTTATAGGTACCAGGTGGACATGGGGGGGGAACATTATTCAACTCAGCACTCACCTTTTTCTGAAGAGAGGGAGAAGAGAAAGGAGAAAGAAAGGAGGCCAGTATTGTGAACTTGCTTGTCAGTGAGCCAGGCTGAAAAGGAAAATGTGATAAGGCATTGATGGGCAAGTGGGAGTTGGCTTAGTTAGGAGCGAACTCTTAGTTGAACATATTTAACTTTATTATTATTTTATTTTATTTTATTTTTATTTTATTTATTTTTGGCTGTGTTGGGTCTTCGTTGCTGCACACGGACTTTCTCTAGTTGCGGCGAGCGGGGGCTACTCTTCATTGCAGTATGCGGGCTTCTCATTGCAGTGGCTTCTCTTGTTACAGAGCACGGGCTCTAGGCACGCGGGCTTCAGTACTTGTAGCGCGTGGGCTTCAGTAGTTGTGGCTCGCCGGCTCTAGAGCACGGGCTCAGTAGTTATGGTGCACGGGCTTAGATGCTCCGAGGCATGTGGGATCTTCCCGGACCAGGGATCAAACCCATGCCCCCTGAATTGGCAGGCGGATTCTTAACCAGTGCACCACCAGGGAAGCACTAACTTTATTATTTTAATGCGTCCACTTTTCAGTTTGAAATGAAGAGCCTTTTCCACATTCCTTCTTTATAGTTCTTCATCCTTACAGAATCATGTAGATTAATAGCATTTCCCTAGGTTATTATATATGTGATCTTTTTCTTAGTCATATTATCATTTTTATGATTATTAAGATTACTTTAAATTAATTATAGACTTTTAAAAGTTTTGGTAATATATTCAAGAAATTTTGTCAGACAAGTTAAATTTTTATTACCTGTAGATTATACCTAAGTTATTCTCAGTATCCTAAATGAGCATTCATTATTCTTCCTAGCTACATCTGATAACTAACCTTTTAAATTCCTTAATTGAACAGGTTTTATAGCAGCAGATATTAAAGGTACAGGTTCCTGGACTCAGCTCTATTTGATTACCGATTACCATGAAAACGGATCTCTCTATGATTTCCTGAAATGTGCTACACTAGACACCAGAGCCCTGCTTAAGTTGGCTTATTCAGCTGCCTGTGGTCTGTGCCATCTCCACACAGAAATTTATGGCACTCAAGGAAAGCCTGCAATTGCTCATCGCGACCTAAAGAGCAAAAACATCCTCATCAAGAAAAATGGAAGTTGCTGTATTGCTGACCTGGGCCTTGCTGTTAAATTCAACAGGTGAGTGGTTCTTTACCTATTGTTTTGAAATTATTGTAATCTCCTAAAGATATTTACCTGTTTGTATTTGTATTCGGGCCAGTGGATTTCCAAACATGTATTTGTGCTTATATAATTATATAAATTGGGTTTTGGGGGGGTTTTGTCTTCGTGGGGTTTTTTTTGTTTTGTTTTGTTTTGTTTGCAGTATGTGGGCCTCTCACTGCTGTGGCCTCTCCCGCTGTGGAGCACAGGCTTCAGACGCGCAGGCTCAGTGGCCGTGGGTCGCGGGCCTAGCCGCTCCGCGGCATGTGGGATCCTCCCAGACCGGGGCACGAACCCGTGTCCCCTGCACCGGCAGGCGGACTCCCAGCCACTGCGCCACCAGGGAAGCCCTGTCTTCGTGTTTTGTTGTCATTGTGTTTTCTGTTTTTAACAAAAATTACATCCTATTCTACATAATTCTTGATTTCCTACTTTTTATTGTCTTAGACATCCTTCCGTTTCAGTATATATAGATCTACTTCATTCTTCTTAACAATGTTAAGGAAAGTTTTCTGTTTTATAGATGTACTATAATTTATTTCATCTGTGACCCAACTGATGAGCATTAAAGTTACCTCCAGTTTATCTCTATTATTTTATAAATGCTTTAATGAATATTGTATTTTATCCGTATATAATATCCTTGAATACTTGTACAAGTACTTCTTCATGATGGATTGCTAGAGAAGGGGCTAAACAGAGAGTATGTACATATTGTTATTAATAGTATGTCGTAGGTTATCCCTTTAGAAAGCGTGCATCAGTTTACACTCCCATAAACAAGATATAAGTATGCCATTTTTTCATCACTACTTGATATTGTCAATATTTTTAAACAATGAGAATATCAGATTTTTAGAAAACCATTTAAATTGTTTTAATGTTATAATTCTGGAATACAGCAGCCATTTCACATTTCAAAACTCATTTCAGGCCATAAAATAGAAGTACTAGTCCATAATAAAGCAAACATTAAAAATTTTTAATCTTCTTCCATCATTTTTACAGTATTCTAATCCTGTTGTTTTTATCAGTGGAGTGTTTATTGGCTCAGATATTCATCAGATGCTAATTTAAGAAAATATAAAATATATTAATCTCTGCCTCAGAGTAGTTTCAGAACCTAATAGATCTGGAGACCTAAAAACAAATCATTCATGTCTTCTAACTCTAAAATTTACTCCAAAAATTGAAAAAAACAATAAACATCATTTCAATATGATTATGTAAACATTACTCACAATAGAACTAAGTTGGTTGGATCCATAAAGAAAAAAAATGTAATCCTAAATCACAAAGGATCACATGAGGATGATAAAAGCAAATGATTCCTCTCAATTAATTTTCACATTCACTTGTTCTGGGATATAATTATGTACCACTTTTTTTATATTCAGTATTGTTCTCTTTCTTAGAGAGGCACAAAACTTGTTTGGTGACAAAACTTGACCTGAACTGATGTGAGGTATTTACTGTCTTTATTTATCCAGCTTAGTGTGAACATTCATACTTAGTTTTTCACTGTGTACTTACTAATGATTTTGATTGAGTACTGCTGCAGACCCTGCTGGAGATTTATATAATATATAGTATATATTTAAAGGGTATATTACTTTTTTAAATCTGAAAGATGCTGAATTTCAAAATACATCTGACCCCAAGGATTTCTGTTAAGGGACTGTAGACATATTAGATAGATAGATAGATCTTTATTTTATTTTGTTATATATATACAGAGAGAGACCCTGACTTTTACAATATGAGACAAAAATAGATGAGAAACGATTTTGTTCTTGGCCCTCAACCTAGACGTTGTCTGTCTTCTGTTTCAGTGATACAAATGAAGTTGATGTACCTTTGAATACTAGGGTGGGTACCAAACGCTACATGGCTCCAGAAGTGCTAGATGAAAGCCTGAATAAAAACCATTTCCAGCCCTACATAATGGCTGACATCTATAGCTTTGGCCTGATTATTTGGGAAATGGCTCGTCGTTGTATCACAGGAGGTAGGAGTTTAGGTAGCATGTTTCTGGTTATGTTTGTATACTCATCATTCAAAAAATAACAGCTCCAGTTGTATAATTTAGATGTCGTGTGTGTCAGGGATCCCCAAGATCAACCCCTCCCCAGTTCTGTGATTTCATTAGGACTCCCAGGACTCAGCATATAGTTGTCTTCACAGCTAAAATTTGTTACACTGAAAGGCTACACGTCAAAATTAGCAAAGGGGAAAAGGTGCATGGGGCAGAAAGTTTAGAGGAAATCAGGTACAAGCTTCCAAAAGTCTTTTCCCAGTGGAGTCGCTCGGGATTTGCTTAAGTTACTCCAGCAATGAATTGTGATAATGTGTAAAATATTGTCATACAGGGAAGTTCATTAGAGATTTAGTACCCAAAGATTTTTTTGGAGGCTGGTCACGTGGGCATCCTCTGTCTAGTATGTATCAAAATTCCAAACTTCTAGAAAGAAAGCCAGGTGTCCAGCATAAACCATATTGTTGGCACAAACAGTCTAGGCACAGTGACTCACCTTTTCATTAGTTTTATGTGAGTGTAGGGAGCTGTTTACCAGGCAAGTTCTCAGACACCAGTCAAGTGCCAGTCTTGCAAGCAGGCCTTTTAAGAATAGCAGTTTCAGGTCTGCTTTATTGACTCTTTTCTGCATATATGTTGTCTTTCTACTGCAGAAAAAAAAATAATTAAAAAAATTAAAACCTCATTCATTAGTAGAAACAATTGTGTGCATAAATAATTAGACTGAAAATTTAGGGTGAGTGGTTCACCTTGCTTATTTTAAGGGATATTGGTATGTCCAATATGGACAGCTATGGTGGGGGTAGAGAAAATAATTAGACATTAAAAAAAAGAGAACATACATTTACTATTAAAAGTGAATCATCCACTCTGTAATCTTTTCTTCTTTGTGGAGGGATTTGTTTCAGTTCCATAGTTCAGTAGAAGGTACTGAATGGATTGATGTATTTTGTCCAGCCACCATTTTTGTGCCCACTATACCTTCTAACTCACTACAGGAATTGTAGAAGAGTACCAATTGCCATATTATAACATGGTACCCAATGATCCATCATATGAAGATATGCGTGAGGTTGTGTGTGTCAAACGTTTGCGGCCAATTGTGTCTAATCGATGGAACAGTGATGAAGTAAGTGGAATTCAGTCCCCTTAGGAAGTGATTGCTGAGTGTTGCCAACGATATTTACCTACTCAGTGCATTCTCTTTACTTTTCAGTGTCTACGAGCAGTTTTGAAGCTAATGTCAGAATGCTGGGCTCACAATCCAGCCTCCAGACTTACAGCTCTGAGAATCAAGAAGACACTTGCCAAGATGGTTGAATCTCAAGATGTAAAGATTTGACAGACAAATAATCATGAGGAGAAATTCTAGACTGCAAGAACTGTTTTCACCCAAGGAACGGGTGGAACTAGAATAGAATAAGGATGTTAACTTGGTTCTCAGACTCTTTCCTCACTACACCTTCACAGGCTGCTAATATTAAACCTTTCAGTACTCTGTAGAATACAAGCTGGGAACTTCTAACACTTCATTCTTTATATATGGACAGCTTTATTATAAATGTGGTTTTTGATGCCTTTTTTTTATTGGGTTTTTATGAACTGCATCAAGACTTCAATCCTGATTAATGTCTCCAGTCAAACTCTGGGTACTGAATTACCTGTTCATAAAATGGTGCTTTCTGTGAAAGCCTTAAGAAGATAAATGAATTCAGCAGAGATGGAGAAATATACACTTTTACCTTCTACCTGAGAAAATTTAATCTATTTGTATTCTACCTTTGTAAACAGCCTATGGATCATGATCTGTTTGGGATACTGCTTAGTTTATGGTAGTTTGTCATGCCTTGATAATGGGGTGTGTGTGTGTGTGTGTCTGTGTACATACATGCATACCAGAATTCCTCTGCTGCCATTTGAATTAGAAGAAAATAATTTATGAATGCACAGGAAGATATTGGTGGCTGTTGGTTTTGTGCTTTAAAAATGCATTATCTGACCAAGATTTGCCAATCACATAAAAGCCATTTACCTTGCAAGTGAGCTAGCTTCTCCACCAACTTTATTTTTTAACATTAAAGTTGATATAAAGGCCAAAAGGAGTTTAAAGTGTATGTAAATTTGGACTGTTTTCCTCCCACCACAAACTCTTTTTTTTTTTTTTGTAATTATTATTTTTGTCATGAAAAGCATCCTATCCAAAGTTGGAACTTCCAATGCCATGAACCTTCTAAAGAAAACACTTCTTATTGAAGTGAATACTAAGTACTGCATTTGATAGCAATTTAAGTGCCTATAACCATGTTCTGTATTCTTTATTCTCAGTAACTTTTAAAAGGGAAGTTATTTATATTTTGCGTGTAATATGCTTTACTTGCAAAACACCTGCTCCTTTACAACCATATTTTATATATGTACATACATTCATACTATAGAAACCAGCTCATGTGTACCTCATATCCCATCCTTAAGGGAAAAAAAATTAAAAGATCTTCAGAAAAAAAACGTTGTAAAGTAGAAGAACTACATGTAAATTTTCAGAATTAATTCAAAGTAGTATATCAAGTCTAGGACTTTGTTTAAATATCAAGAACTAACCATAGGTATAGACTTTCATTAAGATGCCATCATCTCAATTCTCCTTTATGAAAGGATCCTCCAATTAGAAATTTCTGTCACAGAGTTAATATACATTCATCAACAACTGTTTTAGACATTTAAATCATTTGAGATTTTTGGTTTTATGATTTCTGTTCCGTAAGTTTGTGAAGACAGTGAAGAATCAGGCAAAAAGTTCAATATCTAGTCAGTACCTATATCTATACCATATAGCTGTTATTCAATAAAATGCTACATATTTATGGATGCCTTGTTTCCCCAAGGAGTAATTCTGATCTACTTAAACTAACTATACTTCTGTAATGCCTTTTAAATATTAATATCTTATTCTGAACAAACAACTCATGGGTGCATAAAGTGAGACAGTTTTCTTGAATATAGCATAAAATAAATGTGATTATATCGCAACATAGTTAAAAAAATCTTTAAAGGGGAGGAATCAGAGCATGTATCCATCCATTGCCAAAAATGTGACTGACGTTTAAGGATGAAATGCTTACATATTTGTCTATACATCAATCACAAATTTGAGACTTGCTTTAACAGTTTTGACCAAGTTTAATAATTTTCATCTTACATAACTAAAGCTTGAAGTGTTTATCAAGATAAGTAAATTTATATATTGATATATATAGTACCCAATAACTTCCTGTTTGAGAATGTTTTCCCCATCTCTGTACTGAGAAGTACAGGTATTTTTATCTAAATTTCCAAGTGATTTAAGAATACTTATGAGCTCTACTTAGTGTAAGGTTAACCTTGATTTATTTTTTTTGATAAACTATAAATTTTGAAAATAATTTGTCATCTTAATAATAAAAAAATGTAAGGAAAGGCAAACTCTATTCTTAGAAATGTTAAAATAGTATGTGGAAGCAGACAATTGCAGATAATATGTAAGTACAAGAGCATTATAATGATTTTTTAATTAAATTGATCTATTAAAAGTGATACCAAGAAACTTGTTCAATAAAAATATTTTCTAATATTACATGTTCTTTACAAAGCAAATGATTCCATTTTTGAAATCCTAAAGTTGAAAAAAAGTTGCATGAAATCTATTTTTTCTCTCCTTTTATTCTTACTCTTAAATTTCTAAGTTCATATTTAAATATTTAAAGAGTAAAAGAGGAAGTATTACATAGTACCATAAATAATAATTTGTAAAACCCTGGAAGCCATTATTTGGTCCTGCTTACAACTTAGCATCTTAAAAATGTGTAGCTTCTGTCTGTCATCCCTTTAAATAATTAAAACATCAAAACAAACAAAAAACCAAAACTACCTGAATATAACAGAAGTTAATCCTCCCTCAAAGAAAATTCTCCTTATGAGTTCTCTTTATACTGGTAAATATCAATATCTTTAGAATTAAGGGCATGCATGCTAGGAATTGGCTTCAGTGTGTCTAGTCTAAACTTTCCCTGTGCTGTCTTATTGGACAAGTTTCTGAAGCATAAAATTCAAATCTGGTTTCTCTGGAAATGTTTTCATAAAAGATATTTCAATCAACATTTTGTGTTGCCTTTCCAATTTCAGGAGTGTTTTTGAGCTTAGAAAGTGACCTATAGTTTTTGAAAATTATGTTTTCCTAGAATGTGCCAGATTTTTTATTTATTCGCTCTATTCAGTACCTTTTCTTCCCCAGATGCTTTGCTTCTGTTTAGAACAAAAATGCAATACAATGTTTAAAGAATCATGCATCTCTAAGTTGGCCCAAGATCAAATTTGATATTGAATAATTTATTCCAGGCAAGATTTTATAAATTAAATTATTTATTTTTCTTTTCATACACGTTTTGAAATGTTTCTAAATATCTAAAATAATTTCAACAGCAGACAGAAATACGAATTGATTTTTTTTTAAAAGATTGTTGCAGCTCTTGTACTGTTTAAAAGTGGTAATATTTATTATTTGCTTGGGTCAGATGTTAAAATAGCAGTGTAGCAGTTCATCTTCTTGCCTCAGTGCTATTATGAGAGTCACAGTGAAAACTGCAGAGAGCTGATACATTCATAAAGAGCAGATTAAATCTAGGGCAGCATCACATGAAGCTATGTGTAATCATTCTATAAGGAAGGTATGTGAATACTGCTTTTGCCAAGGATTAAATATATTGTAATTTTACCTTGTGCTCTGTACTATGCTTTCAATGGAATTATTTAAGCCCTTTTAGTGACTGTTGTCTTTGCCCATTTAAAAACTAAAATGTAGTATATATTGTATAAAATGAAAGTATCATTATAGCTTAACTAGGAAAGTTGTACATATACGCTGAAAGAAGGTTAAAAACAAGCAGTTTTATTATGCATTTGTAAAACACCAAAAATATAGATTCATCTTTGATATGTAACACACTAAATGTATTTTGTACAGCATCTGGTTTAAAAGGTGCCTTATTAAGTTTACCATTAATTGCTTTGTTCTATATATAGATTACATCCAGTGTATCATTTTTAAGTAAATAACCTTATTTTAGTATACTTTAGTGATGTGTTTTGTGATGCTCTGCTTGGACTGTACTGTGTATCAGAAGTCACCTATCCAGTGAAATTTTATAACAAATAAGTTAGTGTACATACAGGTGTCCCTGAGATGTGCATTTCAGCCACCAGAAACCCACTGTGGACACAGGGCGGGTAAGTGGCCACACACTCTTTCCTTTGTGTAGATAGAGAAGTTATAATAGTTATATAAGCCTATTATAGCCAAGGGTTATTTTCCTTTAAAAAAAAAAAAGAACAAAACATTTTTTCTAATTCTAAAAATATGTACTCATTGCAGAAATTTTGGAAAACATAGGAAAGAATAAAGAAGCAAATGAAATCATTCAAAATCCTATTGCCAGATAGTACAACTATTTACAGTTGAATGTTTCTTTTTGATCTTTTTTGCTGCTGCATATTTTTTTTAAATGTTAAGCTAGAGCATGTCATTATATATCCATTGAAAACATTTTTTTAAAAATTGACTGCATAGCATTCCACTAAGTAGACGGAACAATTTATTTTTATAATTCCCTGTTGAATATTTGGGTTATTTTCATTGTTTGGGAAAATATAACCAATATATTGAACATCCTTGTACATAAATCTTCATATATTTATTTTCTTAGATTACACTCCTAAAAATGGAACCAGTGGATATGAACTTTTTAAAGATTCTTTAAGATGAAAAAAAAAAATTGAGATTCTTTAAATATTGCAATCTTGCTGCCAAGAAGGGTTTCTCATTTACACTCCTAAGAGCAGTGTAAGAGAGTGCTCATCTCACTACCTGGCCAGGTAATTTTTTCGAAGTTTTTTCTCTTTCTGCTAATAGAGTGCCTGATTTCTTGCCTGTAACTAGCTTCTTTTAGTTAGAGTAGTGTAATCCATTTATCTGGCCTTACGGTGTTCCTGCTGCAACAAATGCTGTTTTAAAAGCTTAAACTTCATGGAAGTAAAGGTAGCTTTCCTTCTGTTCTGTAGCAATATCGTTCTCACCACCTGTCAGAGCTGTTTTCAGTTGTGTGTAAATTCACTCACTGTGCCTTGTGATGCCTTTTTGTAGGCACTTGAACATGTTAAATCCTTATAAAAGATTTGTTACTAGTTGATGTCTCCCCAACCCCCACCCCACCGCCCCCCGCCAAAAAAAAAGTTTGGAGATAGCCTATTATAGATTCCTTACTGGAATCCGCATTTAGTGTCACTGTAAGACAGTTTCTTGAAACAATAGCATGTACTCTTGTGCAGCTTGTTAAAGAAGACTCAGGGATTTCTTGGGCCTATCAAATACTTCCTAGCTTTTTTTCCATCTATAAAAAGCTGACTCAAAAACTGGGTAAATATATTAATTCTTCCTTCTCAGCATAATGTTACTCTCCCTGTTTAGTTGGAAGAGTGACTATTTCCAAGGTTTCTTTAACATTATTAGTAGCATTAATAGAGTAGACATTAAGAAATGAGATACTGTTCTTCCAGAATAGTCTAATCCTTGTAGGTAATTTTAAGCAGCTGCTAATTCAGTCATTAAGTCTTCATTCTCTTGGAGAAATGTTTATCTGCCTGTTGCTAATGCATGGACCATTTCTTGCACTTCATACTTCAGTTGGATGCATATTCCTAAGAAAGCCTGGCTTCAGCCCTGGAGCAGTACAGCCTAAGTGGACACAGTCAACTGCAGGTGACTTGCCAGGAGTGTAGGCAGAGGCCACCTAATGGCAGTGGCACTGTTCTAGTCATGGGGAGTTAAACACTGTGAGCTCAGGGTAAGAGCAAATGGGCAAGTCACCCTGAAGCTGGGAATCAGTAAAAGGAAACTTAGTTCACGTGCAAAGGTACATGAAAAAATATTTCAGATAGAAGCAGAGACTAGGGCTGAAAGGTTATTGAATTGTTGCTGAATTGTTCTCTTTTTTAGATGCAGTATATGTGACCTACCTGTTACTCCTCTGAACTTTATCTTTCTGGTCTTTGTCCAGTTACTTGCTCAGAATGAAATTCAGAGTGATTCCAGATACCCCAGTGCTCCCTGCACCCACCTCACTACTCATGGCCTAGATTTTTTTTTTAAACATCTTTATTGGAGTATAATTGCTTTACATTGTTGTGTTAGTTGCTGATGTATAACAAAGTGAATCAGCTCTACGTATACAAATATCCCCATATCCCCTCCCTCTTGCGTCGCCCTCCCATCCTCCCTATCCCACCCCTCTAGGTGGTCACAGAGCACCGAGCTGATTTCCCAGTGCTATGCATCTGCTTCCCACTAGCTAGCAATTTTACATTTGGTAGTGTATATATGTCCATGCTACTCTCTCACTTCGTCCCAGCTTACCCCTCTCCCCGTGTCCTAAAGTCCATTCTCTATGTCTGCATCTTTATTCCTGTCCTGCCCCTAGGTTTTTCAGAACCTTTTTTTTTTTTTTAGATTCCATATATATGTGTTAGCATACGGTATTTGTTTTTCTCTTTCTGACTTCACTCTGTATGACAGACTCTAGGTCCATCCACCTCACTACAAATAAGTCAATTTCGTTCTTTTTTTTATGGCTGTGTAACACTCCATTGTATATATGTGCCACATCTTCTTTATCCATTCATCTGTTGATGGAACTTAGGTTGCTTCCATGTCCTGGCTATTGTAAATAGAGCTGCAATGAACATTGTGGTACATGACTCATTTTGAATTATGGTTTTCTCAGAGTATACACCCAGTAGTGGGATTGCTGGGTCATATGGTAGTTCTATTTTTAGTTTTTTAAGGAACCTTCATACTGTTCTCCATAGTGGCTGTACCAATTCACATTCCCACCAACAGTGCAAGAGGGTTCCCTTTTCTCCACGCCATCTCCAGCATTAATTGTTTGTAGATTTTTTGATGATGGCCATTCTGACCGGTATGAGGTGATACCTCATTGTAGTTTTGATTTTCATTTCTCTAATTAGTGATGTTGAGCATTCTTTCATGTGTTTTTTGGCAGTCTGTATATCGTCTTTGGAGAAATGTCTATTTAGGTCTTCTGCCCATTTTTGGATTGGGTTGTTTTTTGTTTTTTGTTTTTTTGATGTTGAGCTGCATGAGCTGCTTGTGTGTTTTGGAGATTAATCCTTTGTCAGTTGCTTCGTTTGCAAATATTTTCTCCCGTTCTGAGGGTTGTCTTTTTGTCTTGGTTATGGTTTCCTTTGCTTTGCAAAAGGTTTTAAGTTTCATTAGGTCCCATTTATTTTTGTTTTTATTTCCATTTCTCTAGGAAATGGGTCAAAAAGGATCTTGCTGTGATTTATGTCATAGAGTGTTCTGCCTATGTTTTCCTCTAAGAGTTTTATAGTGTCTGGCCTTACATTTAGGTCTTTAATCCATTTTGAGTTTATTTTTGTGTGTGGTGTTAGGGAGTGTTCTAATTTCATTCTTTAACATGTAGCTGTCCAGTTTTCTCAGCACCACTTATTGAAGAGGCTGTCTTTTCTCCATTGTATATTCTTGCCTCCTTTATCAAAGATAAGGTGACATATGTGCGTGGGTTTATCTCTGGGCTTTCTATCCTGTTCCCTTGATCTATATTTCTATTTTTGTGCTAGTACCATACTGTCTTGATTACTGTAGCTTTGTAGTATAGTCTGAAGTCTGGGAGCCTGATTCCTCCAGCTCCGTTTTTCTTTCTCAAGATTGCTTTGGCTATTCGGGGTCTTTTGTGTTTCCATACGAGTTGTGAAATTTTTTGTTCTAGTTCTGTGAAAAATGTCATGGCCTAGGTTTTATCCAGGGAACCTGAAATGTTACCATTGTTTAGAAGTCAATGTGAAATTCTTATATTGAAAGTATTTTTAAGCTAGACAAAGACAGAACTTGGGCGTTTTTTTTAGGGGAGGAATCTTTTTTGAAAGCAACTTTAGAATCAGGTTGAAGCACAGCTGCTGCTCTGTTCTGTGTTGCTCTCCTGTATGACTAAAGTCCAAATAAGTGTTGAAAAACACTAAAAGAAAGAATGGAAAGGCTCTGGCAAAAAAAAAAAAAAAAAAAAACAACGCTGTTGGGAAAAGCATTTCAATTGAGCACTTTAAAAGTAATTTTTATTATTTGATTCTGTCTTCATACTTGGCTAGTAGTTAGGTTGAAGAGAGAATCTAACTGAAGATTCTACTCGGTGATCTTCCAGCATCCCTGTGGCCAGTAAGAAGTCTGATATGTGGCTAATTCAGTCCTTTTTAGTTTAACTTATTTTTTAAATTCAAGAAACATAGAATTTAAATTTTGTTTTTGATGTTTTGAAGTTTTGCCATGTCTAGATACATTCATTCTGTTACTTAGTACTAATTGGGTCCTTTTAATCTTTCCTTAGATCTGGGAACTTTTCTTCCATCACTTCTCTACTCTCTTCCCTTCCCTTTTTACTTTCCTCTTTCTAGAACTGCTATTAGACAAATATTAGGTCCAGTGGATGTTGCTTCCATATTTCTTAACATTGTCTTTCATATGTTTGTTTCATCCTGCCTTGTGCTTTTCAGCCCACCTAGTGAGTGTTTTTATTTCAACAACCAGATTTTATTTTAACTTTATTTGTATTTTGAAAAAACTTCAAACTTCCAGAAAAGTTGCAAAAATAGTATAAAGAATGCCGTTTACCCTTCATCCAGATTCATAAACTTACATTTTGTCACAATTGCTTTGCCATTCTGTGTGTATTCAAGAATTACAAAGGCTTATCTTGGAATGTCTGTGTACAAACACATACATACACATACTTTTTTCTGAACTAGTTGGAGTAAATTACAGAGCTCAGGCCTCTTTATCCCTGAATACTTCAGGTAGTTAATATAACCAATTATGTACAATTTTCAAAATCAGGAAAGTTAATATACCATAACAATTATCAGCAATACCATAGTCTGAAGACCTTATTCAAGTTTTGCTAGTTGTTCCAGTAAAGTCCTTGAGCACATTTTCCTGGTCCAGAGTCTGCCTAGAATCTCGCATTGCATTTAGGTGTCCTGTCTCC